ATATAATATGTTAGAGTTTTGAATTGTTAATATAAGTAACTTTGAAATAAGTTATTTAAAAATAAGATTAAAATAAAATATGTTAGATAAGATATATAGAGAATTGAAAACTGAGTAATAAAGAATTTTATAAATTAAGTTATATTTTAATAACTATCAAAATCAAGTAAGTTGTTAAAACTAATTTAATTGGTAAAGATTTAAATAATTTAGTTGAACATGAGTGCATTCATACAGGTATACTAGTAGAAATAGAAGTTAGCTAAGTTGTAATAAAAACAATTAGTATCTGGATATTGGTTTAGATAAATAATATAAAAAAATTATATATTGGCAACTTATTAAAAAAAATTTTAATTTTAAAACATTTTAGTTAGTTAAATCTAAAATTAGTAATATTGTATAAAGGTTTTTAATTGTAATTAAAAATAAAGCTAATTTGATCACTAGTCAATATCTTGATTAAAGTATAACAACTCATTGTTATATTTTATAATGCCTATATAGCTAATATGTAAGTTTTATATATTTGCTTAATAAAATATCTTGTAGGAAGTTCTATATAATGTTGATTTTATTAGAGAATATAATAAGACTATAAAGATTTGTATAATTAAATAAAAGAAGTAGTAATAATAGTTGTTGTTTGAAAGAGAGTTTGCTTACTTATTAAAATTATTATCTAAGTGAATTTGCATTTTGTAAAAGATAATTTGTAGTTAGTATAATTTAATAATATTTAAAAGTATATGCTAAATAGACTACAAATTAAATTTGAATAGCTTGTTAGAATAGGTTAAGTTAAAGATTATTGAATTTAGAAATTACTAATTGAGAATCAGTAAAAATATTAACTACTAAATTGCATAAAGCTGTTGAAATTGCAGTAATAATTAAAAAGAGCTTAGCTTTGTATAATAAAGATCAAAATTATATTTTGGCAGAGAAGAAGTTAATAGTTTGATTATTATTATTAACTTGGATCCAACTAATATCTATTGTATATTAATTAGTACTAATATCAATTACTGAGCCATCAGTGTAAAAAGAATAGCTATAATAAGAAATAGATGTAAGTTTGTTAGTAGCTTTACTTGAAATAAAAATTTTAAAAGCAATTAAATTAGTAATAGAGATAGTAAATAAAAAATAAGTACAAGTTAAGTGCTTGACAGCTGTAGAGCAAATAAGGTTCAGATAATTTAAATTAAAATTAAGTTGATATTTAGAATTAGTTCTGCCAAGAAATTGTATTGAAATAATTGCAAAAACTTTGACAATACAAGTTTGATTAATTCTATAAGAATTAAAATAACATCTTATACATTATTTGTATTTAACAAAAGATAAAAAATAAAATTTTGAGTAATTTAAATCTATGTTAAAAGTCTAGTAAATAATGGATAATGGTTAAATAAAAAAAAATATTTTTATATTTTTCTAATAATAATCTCATTATTGTAATATAAAAATAATCAAAGTTTAGATTTTGTAAGTTTTTTAGATATATGAATAATGTAGTAGATATAAGGGTTATGACCAGATGATTGGTAATGTAATAATATATTTTGGTAATAAAAGTATGCTAGGATTGTGTTCTTTAAGTAGAAAAATTAAGAGAGTTTTTTACCTTTAAGCAAGTATAGCAATCTGAGTAAAAGATGTTTTCAATTTAATAAGATACTGTTATTAGCTATATAAAGTTATTTAATATACATAATATTTGATTGTCTAAGTTGCTTTTTTGAAGATTGAGTATTTAAAATACTGTAATAAAATTAAACCTAATAACTAGCTTCTATTACTAATTATATAAGGCCTTATTAGATTGAAGTTAGTTAAAATTATTATGCCAAAGTGAATAAGAAGTTGAATAATTTTAAAAGTTAGTAAGTATCTATTAGGACTATTAAGAATTGGTTTAGAATAATATAAAATATTAATAGAAGACTATAAGTTATTTTGTAACTGTTGAAGTCTAATTTAGATTGTAATGCCAAAAAGATTAAGATTGTTAATTTATTGAAGTTAATTAGAAATATGATGCTAAAATTAAATATTTCAAATATTATAAATATTATATAGATATAGGTTAAGCATTGTACTATTTGGTATAAATCTAAAAAAATAAGACTTGTGTTTTGCTACAGTAAGATATTTAAATAAAATTTGATTACATATAATGTAAGAAAGAATGTATTATATAATCTATATTTCAAGATTAAGATAATTATAGTATTATTAATATAAGTGATTTGTTTGTAAATAATTTTCTTTGTACTAATAATATTTTTTAATTTTTTTTTTTTAAGATAAGGTTTTTCCTTTATCTTTATTATAATTTGTATTAAGAATCTACATGAGGTTTCTTTAACCAAAGGTCAAGTTTACAAATTGTTTACAAAAATGAGACTCAGACTATAGATGTACTAAGACTACTTAGTTTAATCTAATTTATCTGCAACCTAAACCTACTAGAGTGGTTAAATCTTATCTAGATTTTGTTAGTTAAAGTATTGCTAATTTGATAGTTAATTATATTGTTAGTTGGAATGCTATATTTAATCTATTTAGATATTCAAATAGATGTTTTTTTTTTAACATTCCTATAGATGGACAAATATTGTGTTCATCTTCTATGTGTTGTTGTTATGCCAAATCACAAATACAATTGTAAGTATATAGTAATCTAGGGTAGTGTTTTATTCTGTATTGTTTAGATTATTACATATATTTGTTAATATGCATGCAGGTCAAGTTGGTATATTGTGTTGATGTTTCCAATTGGCTAGTTTTGTATAGTATAGTTTTTATATTTATTGTTTGATAGTTTTATTAAATTTAGTAGTAATATTAGTTGCAATTTGGTTGGAATTTGTATGTTCTCAGATTGATTGAATAAGTAGCTGTAGAACATATTCTTGTAGAGTTGTGTAGACATTTGTGCTATTTGGAATATAGTTATTAGAAGTTAGACATTGGTAACTGAACAGTTTGTTATATAGTTCTTGTAGTTTAGTGTTTGTGATTTCTAATCTGCTAGAATTAAAATATTGTTGTATAGTATTGTTGATTGTATAGCTTATATTTTGTGTATCAGAACAATTTAACTAGTGCTATGTTCTTTATATACATTACAAGAAATGCAGTTATTGTTGCTAAAAATTGTTGGGTATAATGAGTAGAAATAAGATAGTGTTAGTAGTATATTTAGCATTGTTTTGATTTTAAAAACTTTGTCATAACAAAGTTTAAAGTTTGTATATAGTGATAATTTTTTATTGTTGTTATTAAGATAAAACCATATTGCATTTCAGTTAATTTATATAGCTATTAGTATAATGTTTTCTATACAGTATTGTGATGACTACATTGCAATGTTTTGAGCATTACAAATGTTTTTAATAGATCTTCTTGTTGGTTATTTGAATGCGAGATTGTTGTATTGTAAATAATATTGTAGGTTATATATATTGTTATATATAAATTTTAATATATGTAGATGATTTTAGTTTTTTTGCTAATTCATCTGCTATATTGTTAAAGATGTTGTTTTATATGCAACTACTTTTTAAAAGTTGACTTCAATTTGGTAAGTTTTAATTAGATTTAGTAGAGTATGCCATATTTGCCAATAATTGTAAGAATATTATTTGTTTGGTATTAGTAGTAATTTTAGAAGTTTGTTATATTTAGATATTATACATTGAGAGTCTGTGAAGATTGTAACCTAACTAGATCTAGAACAGGTACTAATTGCTAATAAAATAGCAATAAGTTCAGCTTTGTATAAGAAAGACCAAAACTTAATTTCTGCTGAATAGCTTTGTATAGTTGTATTATTTTGAACTTGAATCCAACCAATTCCTATTTTATATTGTTTAGTTGTAATATATGTTACTGATCCATTAGTATAAAAAGTTAGTTGTAAATAATTAGTATTATGTTGTGCAATTTGTTGCAATGTTTGTATAGAATAATTGTTATTAAACATTTCAAATATTATGTTATTGTAAATTGTAATTGTAAAGGTGTTAGTATTGTAATATAATGTTTTAATGCAATTGAGTAGAGTAAGTTTAGTAGGTTGAAATATAGATTAAGTTTTTTTGATAAGTTTGTATAGACAATTCTTCCCAAGAATTTGGTTGCAAGGCTAGCTGTAATATCAAATATATATTTATTTTGTATATATTTAGAGTTCAAAAAGCATTCTGTACATTGTTTGCAGATGTAATTTGGATAAGAACATAATGCTGTTTGTGAAGAATTGTCCAGTGTGTAATAGAAATAAAGTCATCTATTTGATTATGTCTTTTGGCTTTTCTAATAATTATATTAGTTTGGTTATATATTATTAGCCAAAGTTTTGATTTTATTTTGTAATATCTAATTGTGATGATCTAAAAAGTGTTTTTCATAAAATTAATTAGGCAATATGCCTTACATTATTTAAAAACATCAGTTTATACTAGTTTTAACAAAATAGCAATTGATCTATTTACTCTTTGTGATTCTAAATTTAGTAAGCTTATTGGAAATATATCAACATAGACAATTAATTATATTAAACAGACATTACAAAAAGAACAAACTACGGATAAAAATATTAGTACTTGTGAATGTTTAACTTATATTAATTATAAGTTACCTTGTCAATATATGTTCCTAATATACAGCCCAATTTCATTATTAATTATTAATAAAAGATGGCTTCTTGAAAGACTAGCTGTTATAGAACTTTTATACTCTCAAATTTCTTAGTTACTAAAACAAAGTTTTATAATACTTTCATTAATGCTAAGAAAATATTTCAAAAATTAACAGACAGCATTAATAAAACAAAATTCATTACAAGACTTTATCAAGTAATAGAAATGCCATTACCTGGATCTCCTAAACTTTCTTAAAAAAAACATCTAAATTAAATACTAAGCAAGAATTACTTTTGAATGAACATCAAGACTTTGCTATGAAGGAAAAAAAAATTAGTCAGAATTATGAAACTTAAAGATAAATATTGTCTGCTATATTATGAATTATATGAATTTAATATCTACAAGTTTATACAGAAACATATTTTAGCATATTATGATGTAGTAGAAAATAGTAATTGTAGCTTTCATGTTTTTGCTATATTAATTGAAAAACCTAAAAACTATTGGCTAGATGTTCGCAAATTTATCTATAAAGAACTTAGTAATCAAAAGTCTTATTATATTTAACTGTTTTTAGAAAAAGAAAAGGAATATAATGAAATATTATTTGCAGCACAATGGAAGAAAGATTCTTGTAATAAAGATTATTAGATGTTTATGACATCATTTAGATATGCTATTGCTAATAGTTTTTAGCAGCCTGTTTACTATTTTAACAAACATATTTCTTTCACATTTCTCTCTGACAATGCATTAATTAATTGAAATACATTAATTGCATTTGCTTATATTATTGAAAAACAGCATTTTATTGTTATAAAAATCAAACTAAATGTTTTTGTTTTTCTTATTACAAAAGGCTAGAAAGATTTATCTTCTAAACAAAACAAAATGTGAAAAAATATGTTTTTAGATAGAATCAATTATTTTAATAAGAAATATGAAAAAGAATATAAATACTTAAAAGGAAATATAAAATATGTAATTTGATAAAAATAGCTATATTTATTATACATATGCAATATATACTTATCATAATTACTTCTAAATTAATTAAAGAATTATAACTTGAATATATGTATATAATTATCATTATACATAGTAATAGCAGTAGTAATAGTAAGATCTAATAAAGAAATATTAAAGATGAGTGTAACAATAGTTATTATATGAACTTCTAATATTAGTATAGATAAAGCTAATTTACAATAAATTATAAATTCATATAATAATCAGTATATGAAAATCACATGATCTGGTATATATACATAAATTATCTAATACCAAAATACTGCAGTTACATGAAATTGTTGTTGTATATACAAATCAAATTTCAAGATTAGGTAGAATGTTATACAATCATAGAATCAAATTAAATATTTGCTTTGCATAACTTAAAAGTTTACATAGTATTATCTGACTAAGTTACATGGCACATGATTAAAGCTACTTCAAATTAGAGTAACCTGGCCTATTAGGCTATTTTGGCTATATAGACTATTATAACTATATAGGATATGAAGGCCATGTCAAATAATTAAAAGTTGGAAATGAAGTACTAGAATTAGCAGTTGTTTTTTTTTTTTTTTTTTTTTTTTTAAGGTGACCTCTTTGGTCTTTTGACTTTATTAATACTTTTGTCAGGTATCATGATGAGTATACAACTGACTACACATGTAATTTTTCTATATTACCTATTTAAGAGGTCCACCTGAAGGTTCCTCACTAATTGCCATATCTAACACCTCTGCTTAAGTGTTTCATTTAAACCCTCTGATCCGAAACCCTTGTACCAACTTCACTGGGTCAAGCCCAGATCCTCATCTACTATTTTATTCTTGAGATAAACCTACCAGAGCCTCTGTGTCTTACATACAGCTAACCTGGATTTCAAGTAACACACTATAGTTACCTAACACTTGCAGTCAGGGCTAACCTTAAACCACTACATTACACTATTTTTTTACCCATGAAAGTTCACCCAAACTCTGGTACTTATCTTTCTGACTTCTTCTCTTCATCCCTATACTATCCAACTTAGAATTTGACAGACTTCCCAGACTCCTAATTCAGATAGCCCAGTATGATATACCTTTTGGTATCCTTTTCCTTCGGCGATTCTGGCAGCCTGGTTGGTCATATGCTCCTCTACACATCTTTTTATTCAGTTGCATGTCTGCCTATTCCTTATTGGGGTTTCCTGGGCTTCCATCGGTCCAACAGCACTATTGAAGATTTGTGCTACCTCTTTCTTGAGATTTCCAAGTGGGATTCCATCTCCTCGGTTTCTTGGTCTTCTACATCTGGTAGTCTTATCATGGGTTTGCACCAAAATCTTATGCAATCTCGGTTTTAACATTCCTCTATGTACATGTAATATTACACTTTGCATAGATGCCCTGGGCTCCCAATGACGAGTAGAACCTGATTGGTTGTACTCAAGATTACAGATACCTAAATCCAACCGATCGACAGAAGACAGTTTAGCCATAACACAGGTTAATTTCCAAATTTCGTCGTAGGTGGGATTTGAACCTTAGACCTGCCACTTGGAGGATGACAACCCAACCACTACACTAGGATTGCCATTCTCGAATTAGCAGTTGTATTAGATGTAGAATGTCAAATATAAATAAAAAAATTTAAGATAAATAAAGACTGTAAAGACTATAAAGAAGAGGAATCCTATATTTGCTTTATTAAAATAATAATTAGTCTCTTACATTATAATAAAGATATAAACTACATTAACTAATTGCTAAATCTCTAGATCATAAAAACTAGCTTCTTGCAGTTGTCTGTTCTATCTCAAAATATTATTACCTTCCATTTAACTATTGTATCCTAAAGTACCAGGATTAGTTGTAATCACTTGAGCCCAACTATCTGAAGAAGTATAATAGTTAAGGTTATATATGTTGTTCAATTACCTGAAGTAGTAAGATAATTAAAGATAAAGTTAGTAAAAACTCAAAATAGAAAAACCCAAGACAAGTAAAGAAAGAAAAATAATTACCTATAGACCCAAACTACTAACCAAATCTAAACATCTCTTTTTGACTAAACCAAATATAGGTTATATAAAGTTTTTAGATTGTGGAGTAACTGACTTACTGTTTCATTTAATTTTAATATAAAACCACCTTTAGTGTACTAGAAAAAAAATATTCTTTGAGTAATCTTACTATTAAACTTTCTCTAATCTTAATATTAACATAGATCCTAACCCTAACTTAAACAAACTTTAAAAGATTTTTGATTTTCACATAATTGCAAAATTTTGGTGGTGATACTGGAAAAGATTAATCACCCACAAGCCAAATCTAACATTCTTTTTTGAAAGATTACTAATTATTAGTTATATGAACTTTTAGATTATAGAGAGATCAAGTTGCAGTTTTCTGAGAATACAGTACAAATAAATAATAATGATTATACTAGTACAATTATATGAATGTGTAATATAAAATGTGAGAGAAATGGTTTTAGCTTAAAAAATTGATTTTCACTATGCTAATTTTCATAAAATCTTTTTTTAGCAAAGGTAATAATTTTTAATTATTTATTTTTAGAAAATGTTAAGATTTTTGTATGTTGTATGACATAATTACATGAATTATATCATTGTAATGTAATTGCTAACAAGATAAAATATTAACATTAACTCTGCAAGTTTACTATTACTAATTTTCTTACACTTCACTATTGGGTTATTGTAAAATTAATCATATATGTAGATATGGTTCAGTGTAAAAAGATTTACACCTTAAGAAAATGTAAATTTATTAAGCAATATATATTTTTTTTTATTCAAATAATTCTATACAAATTGGAAAATACAAAAATATAAATTTTAAATTAAATCCATGTCACTATCTGAACTATAAATATTATTAATTTTTTTAGCAATTAGCTGTACATTTTCATTAGATTCAAAATAATCTTTGATATATTTAAGTGCCTTTCTTCAAAACCTAACTATAATTTTTGAATTGATTTTGGTTTTAAATAAACCTAAAAGTATATTATGAAATAGACAAAAAATTTTTATGAGAACCTAAATGTGCAACTTCATCTTTTACAACTACCTAAACACCCTCTATAGACTGAAGTTTATAGTGATATGATGGAATGTAAGAAACTTGATAATTATATTATTTTGCTATTTCAATACAAGCAAATAATACCTTCTTTTTATTTTTTTGAACTGAATCCAAGAACTTTAGTTTTTTTAATTTGCCAAAAAAGAAATATTATTAGCAGTTAACCTGTCAAATATTTTTTGTTTTTTTGTATTTAATGTTAGAACATTTTTGATTCACCATTTATGTTAAGTTGTTTCATCTATATAAATAATTACCAACCTATACTTTTCATTAAGTACTTTACAAAGATTTGAAAAAAGATCTTTAAAAATGTTATCATTGAAGTTATCATGGTAATCCACTTGGTTAGAATGATCTTTGTACCTTTAACAACATTCAGAATATTATTTTATTTTTTAAAGTTCTTTCTTTTTTGTTCTCAGTTTTCTGGAAACTTAATCATTAGGTCCCAAATATGAACAAAATTTAGAACAAATTCACTATGTAGTTTGTTAGAAGATTCATTTTGGAATACTATAATTACTTTATAAATTACTACCAATAGACTATGTCTAGAGGCTAAAACAACATCATGATGGGAAAGTCAAGTATTGTGTGAAATGTGATTTAAATAATAATACAAGTCAACAAAAAAAATTTTAGACTAACATGGAATATCATTTTGGCTTTCAAATTGGTAAAACAAAAATAAAGGTAATGACAATAGAATGCAATATTGTTGGATGATGCATGAAAGATGTTCTTTTGTTCTTTTTTATCAAAATAAAAGCCCAAATAATGCAATAGCCAAAGAAGTTTTTATTTAAAAAATGAATATTCATATTCAAGAAAAAACTGATGTAAAATAGATGTAGAAAATAGTTCATTTATTTTGTTAGCATCTAAAATTTTCATATACAGTAATTCTGATACATTTTGATCAAATTGAAATTTAGGTCAACCAAGAGTTTTTTGAGATATAAATGTACAATTATTGTATTTGTTTCAGTCTGCTACTATGCCCCTAACTGTTCTCTCAGAAACACCCAATATTTTAGCAACTGCTTGCATAATGTCATCTCTTTTTAAGGAAGGAGAAGACATAATTAAGGCAAAGAATTAATACTACAGATTTGTTTAAATAAATTCTACTAAATATATAAATTTTAGACTGACATCATAATTGTATAAATTATTTTTTTACATTAAATTATATTCTTTTCTGATGAGGTGCAAATCTTTATGCACTGAACCATACCCCAATATGTGAATAATTGGTATATAGAACTAACCAACCTTAATTTCAATATGTTGACAATCCTAAATAGCAAGTTAGTTGCTTCACAATCAGATGCATCATGTAACCTATGAATAGGATTAGCTGATAAAAGGCAGTTTTATTTAACAAGTGGGATTAAGATCAGAGATATAACTTCTTTCTTTTTACTTGTTCTGAATCTTTGATACTAATATGACTTACTAACACACTAACTATTGTACTCACTATGACTATATCTCTCTATTCACTTGAATTTAACACTATTAATTCTGCAAAATGACAGCTGG